TTGGAACGGCCTGCCGGATGAGATCCGTCATTTGACCACCCTAAACAGGTTTAAAAAAGCTGTTAAGACGGATCTCTTCCAGCAGACCTTTCCTGAGTAGGTAACCAGCCACCGAAAATAGTTAGGCCTGTCCCTGATTTTCGCTATAGCCATTTTAATTTATTTGTTATTTATGATTTTTAAGTATGTTTGTATATTTTGTCTGTTTAATTGCATTTTAAGGGGGTGGGCTATTGGGAGGAGGGATTGTCTGTTTTAATTTGTAAGCTGTCTCAGTTGTTTTTACAGAGAGGCAGGGTATAAATAAATAAATAAATATTATTATTATTATTATTATTATTATTATTATTATTAAGATCATTCATTTATTAATTCATTCAGAGTTACAATGACAAACTGATCCCATTTAATATTTGGTCTACTGTGTTGTATAATTTTTTCAGTAAGTACGTGAAAGGTCATTGAGCAAATAGAATTTGTGCCTCACATTACGTGAAAGTGAATTGAATTTAGCTTTTAAAAATACCATTATGTTCCCCCAGATTAGTTCTAATATCTTCAGAACACTTCCACCCAGTGAAAATCCAGATTTTGATCCAGAAGAAGATGAACCTACGTTAGAAGCCTCATGGCCTCATATACAGGTATCTTGATTATAAGGTACTCTTTAAAAAGTGCTGTTTCTTTGTTAATATTTCACAATAGGTGTCAATGATTTTGAAAATGCCTTTTAGAATCATTGAAACTACATATATTCTGTGCATATTTTTGCCTCTCTTTTAAGCTATTGCTTTGCTTTTCCTTCCTTCCTAACTACCTTCTGATTCCTTCATAGATGGCAAATCTAACTTTCCTTTTACTCTATTCTCAGTCTTTTTAATCTCTTTACTACTTTAGATACAATTGACCATATTCTCCTATTCAACTCCTCTGTGTTTTAGCATATAAAAGGGTGAGAAATTTCTTCAGCAAAGGCCCATCCCTTCAATTAAGGGACCACATTTCCTCCAGGGAAATCCTTTAGTGCTCACATGCAAGGGGTTGGCAGGGCTTGAACCAGAAGTGGGTAGGGCCTGAATCACCATCCCTTCCTATAGATGCATCAATTTCACACTCCTCACCCTTTTCTTGTTTGCTTTCCTTTGTCAGCCCTGTGTCCTTATGGCAATAATGGAGGAGGAATGTTCATTGACATCTAAAGAAGCTCTTTAAGAGCTATATTTTAATAATGGAGGAGGATTTGGTAGTGAGTCAAAGAATGTGGAGGTTTACCTTAATTAAGCACCAAAGAAAGCTTTTCTAAAAACCTAATTGCACCATGAAGGTGTGAACAAAGGGAAGATGCTGCTAATCGGGAGACTCCCTGACTCTCCCCTCTTCTGTACTTCACTGCATAAGGCCCTTATGTCAACTGTTGATAACTCAACTCTAAGCCACAGATTGAAACCCACTCTTCCATAGCTTCAAATTTTATTGAAAGTTAATGGAATGCTCTTGGTTAATACTGAAGAAGGAAGGGTGGGTGGTTAAAATAGGAAGAGAACAACAACTCAAGAACACTTTTGATTTCCTGATCATTTGGTTTGGAAATTAGGAAAACATTCTGCCTTCAACCATACTTGAGAGAGGTTATTTTGGGCTCACTGATGCTCCATCCACACTGCAGAAATAATCCAGTTTTACACCATTTTAACTGCCATGTTTCAATGCTATGTGGTCTCTGTGCTCTCTGACAAGAGAATGAGAAATGTCCCTTAAAACTTCAGTTCCCTGAATCATATAACATTGAACCATGGCAGTTAAAGTGGTGTCAAACTGGATTATTTCTTCAGTGCAGATGCAGCCTGAGTGATAACCATACAGACATAGGACAAAAAGTGGTCTCTTGAAGGAATGAACAATTTAAAATTTAATTAGCTAGTATCAGCATATATTTTGCAAGGAACTCATTTCTTTATTCTAGCATACTTTATATTTAGGGTTAGTTCTTTACTAAAAAAAAATGTGATCTGCATCGTATGACAGTGTATTGTTTAAACATGTTTTTTTTTCTTACTCTTTCATAGCTGGTTTATGAATTTTTACTAAGATTTTTAGAGAGCCCTGATTTCCAGCCTAGCATTGCAAAGCGTTATATTGACCAGAAATTCGTACAACAGGTAAATTGTTTATCTGAAATATATGACATTCTACCTCTTTTTGTTAAAGATAATATCTTGCATCGTAAAGTGTCTCTTCTGTGGGTATTCAGGCCATTAGAAGCATCCATGGCGGGGGGGAGGGGAAGAGAAAGCTATTTCTCTGCCTTTCCTCCTCAAACTCTTGATAGTACTCAGCTTGTTCCAAAGCATGTCCCCAGAACATCTGGAGTAAATTTTGGAGTAGAGAATAAGAATTGGTGACTACCTCTCCACTATCTTGTACCAGCAGGAGTGTCTACTCATGGGAACTTAGGTTCAAGCCACTGTAATATTGTGTAGAGGGAGAAACTGCAGACTACGGAAACATTGTCTTGTAGTTAATTTAGGGCCTTTGCAAACTGCCAGAAATAGTGCACATTAAATTGAGGCACTGCCCTGGCTCAGTGCTAGGGAATCATGGGAACTGTAATTTATTGTGGCATCAGAGCTCTCTGACAGAGAAGGCTCAATGTCCCAGAAAAAAATACAATTCCCATGACTCCCTAGCACTGAGCCAGGACAGTGCCTCAATTTAATGTGCACTATTTCTGGTAGTCTGCAAAGGCCTTTAGAAATGTTTATCTTGTTTCAGAATGTGTTACACAAATCTATCACACTGAATAGTGTGATTTATTTATTTTTATTGCCACTAAGACCTTCCACTTGTGCCATTTGCTTATGCAACTTTCAGGTTTTGTTTCTGGTTTGTGTTCATTCTTTTCATGGGCTTAAGTAGGCTTATATACGTGTAAATGTAATTTGTCTTCACATATCAAAATAGATAATGAAATTAACAGGGTCTCATAGCACCTAAAAGCTTAACAAGTTGTATTTGACATAAGCTTCATGGACTGCAGCCCACTTCATTAGATTGAACCATCAGTGGCTTACAGTCTATGAAACCTTATGCCAAACAAAGTGTGTTTGGTTTCAAGGTACCCCGGTATTCTTTTTTGTTGTTGTTGTAACAGACTAATAGTGTTACATTCCCCACCTCAAAATGTGAAATTACTATATCACAGTAATGCTGTTGCCTTTCTGTATAACACAGTATGCAATAGCATAAAAATGTCATATGGTGGTTTGTTTGGTCTTAATAAAGGCATGGCTTACTGTATGTTTTTTATTTATTATCCTATGGTTCAACATAACTCCATGCACTTGTTTTTTCTGATGATCCAACTTCTAAAGGAGTTTGAGAGCTTCTCAACCATGATGTGTGCATAAAATGAATATTTCTGACTTGTATTCAGTTACAATGGAGCAGTTGGGAGGGAATTAAGGTAGACCTTATTTTATTCCAGTGAGTGTTTTTTTAGTTATTGGAAGCTGAAATAATAAGCAATACTTTATTCATAGTTGTTGGAGCTTTTTGATAGTGAAGATCCACGAGAGCGTGACTTCCTAAAAACTGTGCTTCATCGAATTTATGGCAAATTCCTCGGATTAAGAGCATTCATCAGAAAACAAATCAACAATATTTTTCTCAGGTATAATATATAGCTCTTTATCAACAAATGTACTGTTTTTCTAATACTATTCGTTTATAATTTTTTTACTAATGTACATTCACATAGCCTTAAAAGTAATGCATATAAAATTTCAATACTTTCAACAATACTTTTGTTGAAACTATTGAGAAAATTCTGTAAATTCTTTCTGCCTTCCTCAGTAAACTCAAATTGACATGTACAGCCCACCTGCTTTGCTTTTCTGTGTACACTTAACTTCCATTAAAGTACCACTTACTTCCAAGTAAGTATGCATATGAACAGGGGTTGTTGTTTTTATTATGTGCCTTTAAGTTGTTTCCAATTTATGGTGACCATATCGCAAGATTTTTCTTGGACTCTTTCTGTGGAGGGAGTTTGCCATTACCATCCTCAGAGGCTGAGAGAGTGTGGCTTGCTCAAGGTTACCAATTGAGTTTCCGTGACCAAGCTGGGATTTGAACCCTGGTCTTCAGAGTCATAGTCCAATGGTCAAATCACTACGCCACATTGGCTCCATATGAACAGAGTAACCTGTAAATAAGCTGTACCCCACTTCAGGTGGGAATCATGCTGCCCTCTGGATGTTGTTGGACTGCACCTCCCTGTCTTCCTCATCATTGGCTAGGCTGGCTAGGGTTGCTGGGAGCTTAAGCCCAATATCTGGAGGGTCACATGATTTCCATCCTTTTTTTTTGTGAGAGATGATTGAGTTCCTTTCAGATAAAAAGGGCAAACTGACTTTCTACATTCCAGCCCCGGGCCATGTAGGCATATAAAGATATAAAGTACATTCAATTCTGACAATTGTTTCCAGATGGAAAATACTTCGTGGTTTTTAAACAAAATACCAGATGTGATGGGAAAGCATGGCAGGGGTAAAAATGGAAATCATCCGGCTCTCTGTTTCTTCTGATTTTGTGTTTGAGGACTGGTAATTGCACTGTAAAAGCTTCATTTGGAACTATCTTTAGTCTCAGAAACAAAAGATTGTATATACCGGTACCGAAGGCATTTACAGCATGCAGCAGTGGTTATTTGTAAAAGAGAGCAGGAGGCTTTAACTATGAAACTGAAAGTAACCTCCTTTGGCACTGGCAAGTGAATATCACCAAATGGGTTCTGAAGGGGAAAAGATAAGTTGCCAATCAATGCTAGTCACATGAAAGAATGGTGTTTTACTTATAAGTCTCCAGTGAAGTGGTAACTTTCAAGCCAAGGTATTGCTTTATGAAAAAGAATGCATTTTTAAAAGGCTAAGTAGAGTAGTACTTAAACATGTAAAATAGGCTGGATCACTTTGAACCCTTTAAATGTACTTATTTCTTAAATTGCAGTCTTGTAAGTGTGTTCTGTCATGTTACAACAGTAAAGCTTAAAACTATATCCTTGACTCCCAATCCCAGTGAAAGGGAGATTTGATTGTCTCTTTCTCTGAGATCATCTCCAACTCTAGAATAATGGCAGTGATTTGTACTTGGGAAATTTTCCTGTGAAATTTATGTATGTCATTAAGGAGATTTTGACAAATTATTAAGAAAGTGATGTGTTAGCTCATATCCATAGCACTGACACCAGAGGAGCTACTCTAATACTGACATTTATTTAGTGTGTTTTCTTCATGATTTTATTTCTCATACACTTGGATGGGATATTTTAGTCCCCCAGAGTCACATTTGTTACCAAATTCACACAGAACTAGACCCTATAAGGTAGACATTTTATGACATTGAGACTGCATCTGTTTTCATCTGCATTTCACTTTTTTAAAACAGAAAAAAAAAAAAGATTGGAATAAAGATTTTTCCAACACTTCTATTGCATTTGTGGTGGGCACATTTTTTGCAAGCTACTCAGAACAAGCATTCTACTTCATGTGAACATATATGTTCTCTACCTATTGGTGTTTGGATATTGTGGAATACCCATTGTTGTGTACCAACAAGCACTCCCATGGCCTTGAGATATTTTTATGTCCTGCAATACACTGGAATTCTTACTGGGGTCAGAAAATACACCAGATTAAGGCACTGAAGTTTTTCTTACCTGTCTGAACAAGAGTTACAAACAAATTGGGTGGCTCCCCGCTCTTTAAGGTTCTAGAAAGTAATTGAGCCTATCTGCGAATGAGAAATATTTTTCATGAGAACTGAATTAATTTTTTTTTTAGGGTGGCATACAACAAAATCTGATATCTAGTGCAATGTGACCTTGATACACAATGAATAGTTGACCTATCTACCTGTAGAGCTGGGGAAGTGTACAATGTAGTAAATGGTTTCATTTATTTTTAAAATAAATATAGTAGAGCTTATCTGTTGCAGTCTGCCTTGCAACTTTGCTGATATTACTAAAGCCTTCTTAACATGCTCCTCTAAGTTCAGTGCCTAATGCCTGGCTTAAGTCTGAGGTGCATATTCAATTTCAAGTTTAGGACAAAATGCATTCAAAACAAAAAGATGTCAGATGCAATGTTTTTTTGTATTATTTTCCCCATGTTTCTGTTTTCTTCTTATACTGATGAAATTTTGTTCAAACAGGTTTATATATGAAACAGAACATTTCAATGGTGTTGCTGAGCTCCTTGAGATACTAGGAAGGTAGGTTAATTTTTCTATTCTTAGGCAATAAAGTAGTCATCCTTCTGTGATTCCCCTCCCCAGTTTCTTTGCTTGCACAAAGCATAAAACCATTTGGGTCTGTATTCAAAAAGCATGATGGACTCTGTTTCATTTTGTCCCTTGAGTGTGAAAGTACTGCTTCAGTTAATTTAAAAACAGAAAGAGGTGGGTAGGGAATATGATTTTAACAGTAATTGAGGGCATGCTGGTGGTGGTGAATACAGAGCTTCATTCCTGGCTCCTTCCATCAGTAGCATATCTCCCTGGACATTTTCTCAGTGTGCATTTCTCTTTAGCCAAGTTCTAACACTGGATGTAACTTGGAATTGGAGAAAATGCTTAGAAATGACCAATAGGGGGATAAACAGCAAACATGAGAGGCTCTCAGTACTCTTTACTAGTGTTTCCCTTTTGCTATTAAGAATTGGACCCTTTTTATGTAGCTGTGGCAGTTCAGGCCCTTTGCCATGCTACCTCCATCTTATCTTGCTTAACCCTGAATGTTGCACTTCTCTTCTTTGTGCAAGCTTTTATTTGTCATGCATTAACATATTGTTCCAGAATAGCTTCAGGATCATTTCCTAATGACCACACTGTGCTGCTAAGTTTCAAATCTGTTTCCCAGTAGTCTTTCAAACCAAATTTGTCAAAATACTATGTGATATTTTGCTTATGAGATGACTGGAAGGAACATAAGTTGGCTAAACATATATCCTATAATGCCTGTCTGTCTTTTTCCAAACCAGTTCCTAATAATTAAATTATCAGTTATATCTGCAGTTCATAGAAACACCAGTCTTTCCAGTTCAGCTAAAGTATAGTATTTTACCCCCAAGAGTATTCAGAAAAAGGCAGCCTTATGGTCAATAAACTGGAACAGAATAGAAATTCAGCATTGAACTTAAAGCCTTTCTTCAAAATTAAAGATTATTAAATATTAAATTCACAATTAATTGTCTGTATGGAGAACTCTTCCATTAAAGTAGAAACATACAGGGTTATATCCAGCATTGCCTACCCAATAGTACAATGGTTTTTCTCTCCCTGAAGCCCAAAATGTCATCTCGTCCCCTTCCCCAACTGCTTTGCTTGTAGTAAACTTGGGAAAAATTGATAAGTGTGTGCAGGGGGGGGGGGGAATGCAGGGGACATTCGGAAAGGAAAAGTCCTGTTGAAGTCTGTTTGTGTAATACCAGTGGTAGTTTATAATCTGCGTGCAAACAATTCCATTTTGATCACCCATGCACCTGTTTTATTACAGCTCAATGCAATATGTAGATGCCATAAAAGAGAAATGTAATCATTGGCATGCAGTTGGGTTTTCCCCCTTGTACCATAGTGTATCTGTTATGGAAAATTATTAAAGCAGCCTGGGAAGTATTTAGAGCTTGGGAATGTTACTTAAAAAGAGAGAGACATTAATATATGTTTGTTTCAGGGGTCAATTTTCTGATAATTATATGGATTGCATAACATTATTCATTAGTAATAGGTTAATGTTTAAATTGATTTTGAACATAAAAATACAAAATGCCTGATAATTTTGTCAAATCACCACCAAAAGTAGTGTTTTCAAGTCATCTATTATTCATTATTCAAAAAAACTAACATTTACCCCATTCATGTTAAAATGTTTAAAAGTAAAATTTAAAAAATCTTTTTGCTACTAAATTGATGGCAATGATAGATTTGTTACACACAAAGTAATGATGTTACTTGTAATATATTCCATCCTCTGCCTAGAATAGTATAAAATTGGCTACGTTAAATCTCTTTTTGATATATTTATTTTGTGATATCAAAAACACTTTTAGTGGCTTACAGCATGTTGCAGCTTATTGCTAAAATGGGGAAGCAAACCTTACAAGCAAATCCTGGGCTTTCTTGCTCTATTGTTGTAATATTCAGAAACAAGTTTTAAAATGCAGTAGATCCTCACAGCTAGTGGGGAAACAGAGTCATAGCCCAGAGCTTGTTGCTAACTCATGTTTAAAAAGAGACTAGTACAGCCAGATCTCACAAAATCTGTCCAAAGAAATTTGCAGTTTTGTGCATTGATGGGCCAGTCCTGTACTAAACTTACAATGTTAATTTTTATACTTTAGTACTATACAGTAATAGTTTGCTTTGTTTGATTTTTTTTGTTCCAGTATTATCAATGGTTTTGCATTGCCACTGAAAGCAGAACATAAACAGTTTCTTATGAAGGTTCTTATTCCCATGCATACTGCAAAGGGATTAGCTTTATTCCATGCACAGGTATGTTTGTCTGAGGAAATCACCTTTTGTAATTGCAGAAATATTGCCTTCTAATGTATGACTAGAATATTCAGAAATTTGATTGTATGCTCTTGATTCTCATGACAAAAGTAGCTCATTTCAGTTTAACATTTATGTATATTTCTAAAATATATCAGACAGTAGAAATACTGTTCACCAAAGAAAATACCAGAGTGTACCTGCTCAATTAGCTGTTTTTCGTAGGTAATAGATCTGTTCTCTGAATGTATAATGTCTGTTAGAGTTTCAGTTTAAAAAAAATACATGAGAGAGATAGGGCTTTAAATCCCTTATTCACAATGGATTTGGTAGTAAAGTGCATATGGGCAACATTTCTTATGGTCATCCTCAGATTCTTCTCCATGCTTCAGAAACAGGTCAACTATATAATGAATGCATTGTTGTCCATATACTATGACACACTTATAAGGGGTTCTTTATACTACAAAACTGAAGACCTAGTGCAGGTATATGGTAGTTTCATGTAGAAAAATTTGGGTGTAGAGACTTCAAGGATATTATAATGAGCATTGGAAATTCAAAATGGTTTACATTGAGGATATTATGATGTGTCAGATATGTTCATTTTCTGAATTTTTATGCTGTTAAAAATA